TGTGCTGCAATGGACAAAAGGAAATTCCCAATGAATCAACAATCACCAACCAGTACTACTAAAGGGCCAAACAATAACGGGACGCCAACAAAGACTGTAGGGGTTGTGCCACCAAAGGCACCTAAGGATCCCTATGCTCGACCAAATACAAATAAATGCTACAAATACGGGCAACCAGGACATCATTCCAATCAGTGTCCAAGACGCAGTACAGTAAACCTGATTGGACTATGATAAGAAATGGACCTGACGATAGAGGGGGTAGAGGATGAAACAACGTAAACCTATAAAGAGGATAAAATTGGAGGGGGGGATGATAGAGAGTTACTATCACATTCCTTTATAGTTCAACAACTTCTACTAGCATCAAAATAGACAGAAAAAACACAGCAGCATAACATATTTCAAACCAGGTGTGTTGTAAACTGAAAGGTATGTGATTTTATTATTGATTGAGGCATTACTAAGAATATAGTATAAAAAAAAAACATGGTATCAAAGCTAGGATTGAAAATGGAGAAACATTCATCACTATATCAAATTGGCTAGATTAGGTAAGGTGTAGAAGTAAAGGTTACTGAAATTTACCACATTCAATTCTTTATTGGAAAAAATTAACTAGACGAGGTTGCTAGTGACATTGTTAAAATGGATGTCTGCCATATAATTCTAGGCAAATCATGATAGTTTAATAGCGATGTCATATAGAAGGTGCATGATAATGTATATATCTTCACAAAGGGAGGATATAAGGTCATTTTGGGTCCCATAAGAGAGGAATTCTCTGCAATAGAACCAAAGGCTAGACGGAAGCTAGTTTTTTGGTTAATAGGAGAAACTTTATGAAGGAGACCAAGGAGTCAAGTGAGATTTTTGTAGTAATAGTGGGAAGAAGAATTCAAACCGAACCTCCCAACATCTCATAAGTGTTGCAACCTTTACTAGCAGAATTTCAAGAAATCATACCATTAGAATTACCAGATAGGCTACTGCCTATGCACAATATTCAAAACCAGATTGATTTAATTCTAGGGGCTAGTATGCTGAATCGACCATATTATCAGATGAGTTTGAAAGAGAATCAAATTCTACAAGAACAAGTGGAAGAATTGATAAAAAAAAAAGGGCTGATTTAGGAGAGTATTAACTCTTATGCGGTGCTAGCCTTGTTAGTACCAAAGAAAGATGGCAGTTGGCGAATGTGCATAGACAATCGGGCTAATAAGAAAATCACAGTTAAGTATTGATTTTCCATTCCTCGTCTAGAGGATATGCTAGACATGTTGTCAAGGTCCAAAATCTCCTTGAAAATTGATTATAGAGTGGGTACCATTAAATTCAAATTAGACCTAGGAATAAATGAAAAATTTCCTTCAAAACAAAAAAGAGTTTATATGAATGGTTAGTAATGCTATTTGGACTAACCAACACCTTGAGTACCTTTATGCGGCTAATGAATCAGGTACTTAAACCCTTTACTAGCAATCTTGTTGTAGTATACTTTGACAATATATTGATTTATAGCTAGAGTGAGTCCGACCATTTTGAGCACTTTATAAAAGTATTGATTGTGTTACTGCAGAATAAGTTGTATGTTAATTTGATGAAATCCAAATTCATGACCAGTAATTTATTATTTTTAGGTTTTGATGTAAGTATTAATGGAATTAAGGTCAATGAAGAAAAGATTCGAGTCATCTGGGAATGACCTACTCCAAAGAATGTCACTGAGGCACGTAGCTTCCATAGACTTACAACATTCTACCAATAGCTTGTCAGAAATTTTAGCCAAATCATCGCACCAATTATTAAATGCATGAAGAAGGGGAAGTACCATTAGGGAACCAAAGTAGAACAAAGCTTCATACTGATTAAAGAAAAGTTGTTTTCTGCCCCAGTTTTAGCACTGCTGGATTTTGATAAATTATTTGAAGTGGAGTGTGATGCGTCTATTATGGGCGTTAGTGTTGTCCTATCTCAAAAAGACAAACCTGTTGTATTTTACAGTGAGAAACTCAGTGAAGTTCGCTAGAAATGGTCCACCTATAAGCTTGAACTATAGGTTATGTTCCAAGCTTTAAAAGTTTGGGAGCACTTCTTAATATAAAGGGAGTTCATCCTTTTTAATGATCATCATACACTATAATTTATTAATAGCCAGAGTAGTATGAACCAGATGTATACATGTTAGGTGTCTTTCATACAATGGTTCACATTCACTCTATAACATAAGGCAAATCAGCTAAATAAGGTAGCTGATGCTCTAAGTTGAAAGGTATCCTTACTTGTCACATTGTGAGTAGAGGTTACAGGTTTTGACTGTCTTAAGGAATTATATGCGGGAGATACGGATTTTGGCAATGTTTGGGTAAAATGTCAACAAGTATTCTATCATAAAGGAATGCATAACTAAGAAGGGTATTTATTTCAAGGCAAACAATTGTGTATTCCCAAGAGCTCATTATGGGAGCAGGTAATCCACGAGCTACATGGTGGTGGCTTGGGTGGGCACTTGGGTCATGATAAAATAGTAGCCCTTATAAAAGAGAGGTATTATTGGCCCTAGTTGAAACGAGATATCAGTAGCCATGTCAAACGCTACCCCATGTGCTAAGCAGATAAAGGACAAACTCAAAACATAGGTCTATACATGCCCCTGCCCATTCTAATAGCTTCTTAAGAAGATCTTTCTGTGAACTTTGTTTTGGGACTCTCACGAACTCAGTATAGATTCGATTCTATCTTTGTGGTGGTGGACAAATACTCTAAAATGACTCACTTTATCGCATATAAAAAGACTTTTTGATATTGTGCATGTTGCTAACTTGTTCTTCAAAGAAGTTGTTTGTCTACACGAGGTCTCTAAGTCCATCACTTTAGATTGGGAAACTAATTTTTTAAGTCATTTTTGGAGGACTTTATGGCAGTAGTTTGACATATCCTTAAACTTCAACAGCACGAGCCATCTTTAAACTAATGGCCAAACAAAAGTGGTACATCGAACTCTTGGAAACTTAATCCACTGCCTATTTAGGGAGAATCCTATACAATAGGATCTTACCTTGACACATACTGAATTTGCTTATAATAACATGCTAAACAAATCCACTACAAAGACTCTATTCCAAGTTGCGTATTGTCAACCCCTAAGTCATGCCTTAGATTTGGTGCCTCTACCTAAACATCCTAGTATAAGTATAACAGTAGAGCATATTGTTGACCGAATTAAAGCGATTCAGGATGAAGTTTGGAAGAATATAGAGGAATCTAATGCCAAGTACAAGGCAATAATAGAACATAAATAGTGAGCTAAAGTTTTTCAGGTAAGAGATCTTGTAATGGTGTATCTGCTTAAAGTATGAATGCCAGTGGGAACGTATACCAAGCTGAGCGAAAAAAAAAACATGGTCCTTTCTAGATTTTACAAAAGATTAGTAATAACACATATATAGTGGACCTCCCTACAAACATGGTTATATCTCTCACCTTCAATGTTGCTGACCTATTTGAATATCATCCTCTCGATGAATGTCCTTCTCACCTGACTAACTCGAGGGCACATTCTTTTGAAGTAAGGGAGGATAATGTAGGATAACTTAATGAAGGAATCCTAGACTAACTGAAATCCTAGTCCTGCAAGGAAGAACATACTGGGAGTCAAGCAGTGTATTCTGCCTATAGCCACTCTTACCCTTAGTTAACATAAACTC